GATGACAAACACTATGAGGAGCAGCTTTTGCACAAATTCAAAATAAATGAAATAAACCTGACACACGCTGCTGAAAACATGGACGGACGAGCCGGCAAACAAACCGACGCTCCGCTGCATTAAAAAAGTCCCTTCAAAATAAAATCACAGGATGAGTTTTTTTTTTTTTTTTGAGAATCACTAGTCTAAAGGTCCGGCGGTCACACTGACCGTGATGGTTTGAGGGCCTCCACCAGCGGGCATGTCCACGGCGACTCTGGTGCTGCCCGAGGAGACGAGTATGGGCTCCTTCAGCAGCCCAAAGTGGACCAGAACGTTCCGGGCCGCGGAGCCGTCATGGTGGTTCACCTCGATCTGGACGCGACGGGATGAAATGATGTACTTTATACACGCTTTTGATTTCAAATGAACCAAACAGGTTTCCTGGACAAAACATGACCACATATCTAGTTCTAGGAGATGGATCGCGGACACAGGAGCCGGTCCTTACTGTGAGGTCAAAGGGCAGGCCCGGCTTGAAGAACTTGGGTACGTCTTTGAAGGAAAGGACATACGGAGACTCCACGATCTTAATGCCCGTCTTCTGAGCTTCAACCAGGTCGCCGCCTGCAGAGGAGACCAGAGCTGAAGGGTTGAACATCTAGAAACATAAAACCTAAACAACTTCAGCAACGACGACTTGATGGTAAATAAACATATTCGGGGTAAAGGGCTGAAACTCAGAGAACAAACTCCAGTCACGATATTAACAGGTAGCTAAAGCGCCCCCTGATTCATGGTCTGTTTCCCTCTAAATGGAGCATAATCCACTAAAGGAACATCATGCTGTGTTGAAGAAGACTTGAAACGAGAGACTGAGACCACAAACTCATGTTTACAACGTTCACTGAGGGAATAAATCCAGCGTTCGGTGTTTCAGTGGCTTCATTGATGTAAATGAGGACTTCCTGTCCCTCACGTGAAGGACTAACCTGACTTGGTGAGCACGGAGGCCTTCACATACACAGAGTTGCCCACCAGGGACTTGACGTTGGGGTAAACTCTCTTGATCTCCTCCATGCTCAGACTGACGACTCCTCCGTCCAGCTGCAGGAGGAGAAGAACGCAGAAGACGTCTGACGTTATGGAGGCTGCAGGTTCGCTGGGGGAACCGATATAGATGAACATCATGCGTGAAGCTCGCATGATGTGGTGGGAACGTTTCACCACAATGAGTGACTTACGTTTGAAACCTGCTTCACTGAAGGCAACCTTCTCATCTCCTGGTTGATCTTCACCCCAAACACCACGTAGGCCGTCCCCTGAACCGGCTCCCCGTACAGGTACCTGGGACGCCATGACAACAACGTGAGTCAGTGTGGGAGGAGGAACGCTAGATGTTACATGTGGACGGTGAACTACGACTATGAAGCAGCAGGACCAGCAGGTGTTTGGTCTGTGAGAGTAGTTGACCGACCTGGCCGAGACCTCCACCTGCAGCTCGCTGTCCTCCAGGTTGAGGAAGGACTTCTTGGGCGTCAGGGTGACGTTGAAGGCCGGAAGGACTGAAGCACAACACGCCAGAAGCATGAAGCATTCCTTTCATTAGACATCACACTGGAGGTGAAACATCTCCTCGTGGTACCACGAGGACCCGACGTACCGTATTTCTTCACCTCGAACTCAGAGGTGAACGTGTTCTGCTGCCGGTGGTCAAACTTTGCTGTCAACGTCCATTTTCCTTCACTGGCACAGAGAAACATCACAGAACAAAGCATGCCGAGTTCATCCTCTGGGAACCAGGAACGTCTTTTCTAAAGGTTGTTCCTTGAGACACTTTATTGTGCAACAAGTCTTCTTGTTAATTCCTGACGGACGTATTGTCTTAATTACACTCGTACGTATTGTGCATTCAGTTCATTCTTGGTCTAAATAGACACATTTTAATCTCTGAGCAGTTTGCAGTTCGTGGATGAGGCAAAGAAGTTGATCTTACTTGACAATTTCAGAGAGAGGAAGAGTGTCGTCCAAGACGCCGTCTGCAGGCCGGACCCTGGAGACCTGTTTGACCACCACTCCGTCCGGGTTCTGAGACACAGAACTGGTTCATTAAGTAACCTCTAAATATGATGGAAACCCAACAGGTCTAGGGTGTCCCGATCAATCACCACTCTTGAAATGGCTCATCGATTAATCTACTAATCGTATTTGTTTACCGTAACATCTATGGTGACGGAGCTGTCGAAGGCCTTAAAGGACAAAGAGGACGCAAAGGCTCTGAATCGAACTGGAGAGAAAAAAATGGACAAAACGTATTCAAAATATTTGTTCATGATGATGTAGGTGTGAATCCTCACTGCCACTTTGACCAGAACATCTAAAGTATCTGGTATCACAGCTTAGACCTTCCTGACATCTTGCATTGAAATGTGTTTGTTCTAAAGTCTTTCTCGTAGTTTGTGTTTTGCTGTTTGTTTGTTTCTTCGTCGGCGTCTCGCGTCCTCACCCGTGTCTCCGGGGTTGTAGATGGGTTTGTCCGTCTGGATGAAGATGTACCCGGCGTGAAAGGACACCATCAGCACCCTTTCCTCGGAGTGGAAGCCGCCGAAGTCCACCTTCAGATACACAAACTTGTTCTCTTTCTCTTCGGGATTCAAACCATCGGAGGGAAGCTGTTGGATGAGATCGGGGAAGATGAAGAGGATGTCTACAGATTAAGGAAAGCACCGTGATGTAGAGCAGAAGTAACCTCGTCACTGATCGTCTGATTCCCGACATCACAATTCGTTCATGCTTTACGCTGGCAGATCCATATCGTGTTTTAAATACTTCACACACAAAGATTGTTGCCCCTGATGAGTCACCTGGATCGCCTTGAGAGCATGAAACCCGTTGTCCACATTGAGCGTGATGGAGTCCAGCAGGAGCATCGCTCTACTTCTGAAGTCCATGACGGTGATGGTGACGGAGACGGGGGTGGACACGCCGTTTGCCTGGAGGTAGATGTTCTCCTGGCTGTCCGTCCTCAGCAGGTCTGGAGCCAGCAGAGTGAACCTGCGGGGAGTAACCGGGGAGGTGGAGCCACAACTTCAGGTACTACTGACACACGACTAGTTGTACTACTACTTCTAGTCAGAGTCAAGCAGGTTAGCTGCACATGCAAAACACACTTCACGACAATTGATTCATGTTTTAATTTGCTTTAACCAGGCAGCAAACTCTGCACAGTGAAACCGATGTAAGTGCCTGAACTCCTGCATTCTGTGTAGTGACCAGCAGGGGGCGACTCCTCTGCTCCCATAGACGTCTATGAGGAAATGACTCTACTTCTCTGTAGTGACCAGCAGGGGGCGACTCCTCTGCTCCCATAGACGTCTATGAGGAAATGACTCTACTTCTCTGTAGTGACCAGCAGGGGGCGACCCCTCTGCTCCCATAGACGTCTATGAGGAAATGACTCTACTTCTCTGTAGTGACCAGCAGGGGGCGACTCCTCTGCTCCCATAGACGTCTATGAGGAAATGACTCTACTTCTCTGTAGTGACCAGCAGGGGGCGACTCCTCTGCTCCCATAGACGTCTATGAGGAAATGACTCTACTTCTCTGTAGCGACCAGCAGGGGCGACTCCTCTGCTCCCATAGACGTCTATGAGGAAATGACTCTACTTCTCTGTAGTGACCAGCAGGGGGCGACTCCTCTGCTCCCATAGACGTCTATGAGGAAATGACTACTTCTCTGTAGTGACCAGCAGGGGGCGACTCCTCTGCTCCCATAGACGTCTATGAGGAAATGACTCTACTTCTCTCTTGATTTATTCCCTCAGTAAACGTTGTAAACATGAGTTTATGGTCTCAGTCTCTCGTTTCAAGTCTTCTTCAGTACAGCATGATGTTCATTTAGTAAATTATGGTCCATTTGGAGTCAAACGGAAAAAGCCATAATCCAAGATGACAAAACACCGGCCAAGTTGAGGCTTTAGGACTTTCAAAAAGAAAAGTAAGAAAAGTTGTTTTTCTTCGCAACAGAAATATATTCCGGGCAGTGTGAGAAAAGTATTGCGATCCTTATGTTGAGATGTGAGAAGAGGAGACAAATACAACTGGTAGTCTTAAAAAGAGCGAGAACAATATACAGAAAAACGTGTATAAAAAGGGTGGTATTAATATCCACTGTACCTCGGTGAAGAACTAACCGTGGACCTTGGTTTTTGTCGGCTGTGGACAGAACGAGCATTAATTTAGGAAATGAGAACTTCAAACACAAAAAATCGAAATCATCAAAGCACGCAGGAAATATCCAATACAATAAAGAGAGTGGATCTATTCAGTGTCTCCTGTCACATAACCTCCGACTGACCAGGAGCAACCTGAACAATGCTCACGTTTACACGTTAATGTTTTAATTCAACGTGTCATTTCTATACTGTATTCAGCTCGGTTACTTACTCGTGCATCTCCCAGTATTTGCCGATTGGTGAAAATCTGTGGGTCAAATTCAGATTCATTATGATGAAAGGTTTTCAACAGCAAAAGAGATTGATGCACGTGCACACGCACACACACACGCACACACACACACACACACACACACACACACGTGTCTTCGTGGGTGTTTGTGAGTAGGACAGTTATTTAACAAACCACATTCTAAAGACAAGCGAGTGCAGAAAACTAAGCGGTACCTTCGTTGGTTTCGCATTTGACCATCGGAGCCAAAGAGGAAGACGAGGAACAAAACGTGCAGCGTCCACCGGCCCATGTTGACCGTGTGTGGCCCTCAGCGAACTGTGAACACGGGAGAGACGGCCCCCTGCTATAAACGCCCCCCCGAACCGGACAGGCAGCAGGAAGAGGAGGGTCATTGACCTGTGATCAATACGAGTGACACAAGAGCAAACTGTGAGGGGCCCACGATGGGGACCAAAGTTCAGAGAAATCCTCCGTGCATCAACAGTTTCATCTGAACTCAAACCTCAGTGTTTATTTACAAAAAGTCTTTATTACAAAAGTCAAGCTTGTTGTCCAGCGGTTTGTTGTGTATTTATTTAACGCTTTTGCTGATTGAAATAAACAGCAAACAAAGAGTGGAAAGATCTCCGGTCGTTCGCGTTACGGAAATAAACTCCCTGCCTGCGGCTCAATAACGTGCGACAGCGAAGGAACGATCGGCGTTACAAGCGCGCAACGATGGCGAGGAGAAAGAACCTGAACGAGTGATCAGCCAATCAGAGCAAACAAGCCACTTTCAATAATTAGATTAAATAATTTACCAAATATTTTGTAGAAAACTGCACACAAAAGGAGCCGGATTTGTTCAAAAGCCCCTTCGGTTGTTAAACTTATTCTACACGTTTAAGTTCCCAAAACTGGGGGAAACTATTTCATTAGGCATTAAAATGATCCCAGAAAAGGAGAAGATACCCGATAAGTCAAAATGCTTTTCTAGGTTGTTTCTGGTTCACTGGATGCATCGTGATGATTTCTCAGTGTTTGATTTCTGAAAGTTAAACACTGTGAGGAAGAAACTCCACAACGGCTCCACAGGATTTATTATTTAACACATTCGCTGATTAAAGAATCCAAACAACCAAATACTGGAAGCTGTGCGTGAACGCTGCAGAGAAACATCTTTCTGAAGACATGAAGACGTTCACGACGAGGCCTCCTCAGGACGCAAAGCAGCACGTTCTGTTCATGTCCCCCCCCCCCCCCGCGTGTCCCACTCCCACTACAGGACACGCTGACGTGGTGTCCTGATTATAACGTTATTCGCAGAGGAGAGAGACGTCCCGTCCCGTCCTCAAAGTCCCGGGTCTGAGTCCGAATCGCTGTAGTCTGCCACCAGCGATGGGAGGCCCCCTAAACTCTTGCCCCGCCCCTTCCCATAATCCTTTGCCTGTGCCGGTTGTCCGTCTGCTTCCTCTGTGGTCCTAACGCCACCGTCTGTCTCCAGCAGCCCCGCCTCCGCTTGGGACGCCTCTAAACCCGCCGCCTCCGCTCTCCGAGAAACCGCTCCGTTGCACCCGCCGACCTCGGGGAGCGACCTCCGTCGGCCGGTGGTCGGGGAGGAAGACGAAGACGAGGAGGATGAGGACGAGGAGGGTTCCGTTTGGATCGACGGCCCCCCCGGGCGCCTGAGGATCAGTGGGCGGGGCGAGGGGCCCAGAGCTTTGGCCACCGCGGCTTCTTTCCCCTGCAGGCTGAGCTTGTGGAGCAGGGTGCCCGTGGCGCCCGCCGGCGAGGCCGAGGAGGAGGTGAACCAGGAGCGGGAGGAGATCTCTCTGCGCTTGCTGTGCTGCTTGTCCTCGTAGGCTGAATGTGGAGGGAAACCACGCGGGGGACATTTTAACGCTTGGGTTCCGTTAACAGATGCGTAAGAGACTTTGTACCTTTAGGCTACACTCGGCTAGTTAAGACACTAGACTTCTACTCGCCCCCCTCAATCCCCCCCAATCCCTCCTCATCGGGGCCAAAACGTTCAGTGTGGACTTGAAACAGTAGAATGAATGATTTCACGTTTAGGCAAATTCATTCATTTCAATACAAAGTCACTGATCTGTCACTCAATTACAATAAATAATCAATACTTTTGTCAGTTTAAAAGTTCCAACGTGATAAAATAATCCAGACTAACAACCGCTCAGCATTGTGTTCACTCAGCGTGTTTATTCCACTTGGGTTGGGGGGGCTGTTCCTAGTGTGTGTGTGTGTTACGTACAGTCAGGGGCCTGGTAGGTGAGCAGTGTGGCCAGTCGCTTGTCCTCCTCCTTCTCCGGCAGCAGCGGGATGGACAGGTTGGTCCTCATCCTCACGGTGTTGTCCTTCTCCTCCTGCTCCGCCTGAACCTTCTTCTCTGTCTGTCCAACGAAAAGCAGAACCGTCGGTTTTAAGCCTTTCAAATCACAGAACTCTCACAGGAACCGAGCGGCCTTCAAAACATGATGGTGGAAACGAGATAACGGAAGATAAAAAAGGGTTTTATGTTGCATTTTGAATTGTACCACGGCGCCCCGTTCCTACCCTGAACCTCCTGCGGAGGGAGCTGTTGAGCTGGAAGTCGTCCTTCTTGCAGGACTGGTAGTCTTGGATCTCGGCCAGAGAAGGCAGAGCCTTCTTCAACTTCTCCTTGTCTTTCCCGCCGTGGTCCAGTTTGAACATGGCGTCCGTCTCCAGTTTCTCCTTCTCTTCTCGCTCTGTGAGCAAAGGGACGCGTTGATGAAAAAGGAGACAATCACGGCAAGAAAAAAAGAGACCCGGACAGTGTGTGTGTGTGTGTGTGTGTGTGTGTGTGTGTGGCTGTGAAGAGGTCTGCGATGCTCGCGCGAGGATATTTTGTGCCGTTGCCATGGTGGCGCCGGGTAGCAGCCGTCTCTCTTATGTACCTGTGGTGAGGATCTGCTCGTTGTCGGCCATGTCCCAGCGCTCCTCCTTCCGGTTCGCCCCGCTGACGATCACGTAGTCGCAGGTCGCCGGGTCCGTCTGCATCTCGATGTAGTTGACACACAGATGGCACTTCATCCTGAACCTGGTAGCGGCGGCATGAAAAGATGTTAATACTTTCACACGTTTTATTATTTCACTTTTTCAAAAGAGGTTTTGAGAGGGAGTCTGCGCTCACCTGTAGATTGGCGTGGTGTAGTAGTTCCCCACTTTCTTCTTCTCGGCATTGTAGCGGACCCCTGCACAGGCAGAACATCGGTGTCATGATGCCAGCAGCCCGCGGACGGAACGCGACACTCTACCCGACTAAACGGGTCTCGTTGCTCCTCGAACTTACCCATGCCCACGTGGTTTTTGCAGCCATCACACCAGATGTTGTAGGGCATCTCAAACCTTCAATGTACAAAAAAATTCATCGAGTCATTGAAAAACACCAGTTTCCGATTTATGTTCTATTAATATCTATGTATGCAGTATGTAATTTAAACATGCACATTCAATATGAACCAGTTTACTATAGACAACGCACTTATTTGTGGTAAGAAAATGCATTAGAAGGGTAGAGACGCGCTGTGGGATTCTTGTCATTTGTACAAGTAATCTCTTTTGGAAACGCAACTGATCTGATATATATGAACCATCTTTTCAAACCGCGTGCTACTTCCCCCCCGTGTGGACTGACCTGATGATGAGGATGCCCTGGGACAGCTTCCTGGCCCGCTCACGCAGAGCGTGCGTCTTGTGGTAGCCGTTGAGGGATCCATGCTAAACGATGGGAATGCAAGTCAGCACAACTTTTTAAAAAAAGTGACACACACACAGACACACGCGTGTGATCATACACACCTTGGCTGGATCAAAATCTGGAGGATAGTATTTGTTTGTTCCTTTTCGTTCACCCTGTCAATAAAAAAGTGCGGGGGGGTTATTTTAATAAAATGTATTATTGAAACAAGATATAGAAGCATGCATCTTGACTTAAAGTACTTACCATAGTGAGACCTGGATCAACACACCGGTGATGGATTCAACCTTTTCCACACCACAAGAAAAAGTTAGCATTATTTTAAATGTAGTTTATATAAACAGTTAGCTACAGTCAACCTAGTTTGAAAACGTAACGTTAGCAGTAATGTCATTTAAATAAGCAAAACAGCAAACGAAACGTCACTGTTCTGTTGTCGACTAACACATATGACATGAAGTTCCTAACTTGAGTTCAAAGTGTAACGTTAAACTAAAGCAAAGGGTTCAATAACGTTAGCTGTTTTTAGCCAAATAGCTAACCTTGGGCTAACAACAGCCAGCTTAATAGAACTAACATAGAGAGGGAGCTGCCATCTTCACCGCAATATTAAACGATAGTTAGATTAATCAACAGTTCACATGGTAACAGTAAACTGCCAGGACTTGTGCAGAGTTTGGTGCGATTATTACTTCATAGGAAAGTATCGGCGCTAGAAGCGAGCTAACATTAGCAACTGAGCTAGCACGACGTGCAACGTCGGCGTCTTGTTCGTGCGATCCTAATCAACCGGAAACAACAACTACTGGTGTCATCATCTGTAAAAGCGCAGCTGACACGTTTAGCATCGACTTCAGACATTAAACAAGACTCACAAACGCTCTGGTAGCCGCGGAAATCCACCATCGACCGAACACCAGGTGGCCGATGGGTAACGGAAACGCAGGCTGTTGCGGAAGTGACGTCGCGGGGGATTGTGGGTAAGTGCCGGAAAGCGCGCCGAGGTCGTGAACGCCGCGAGCTGCCCGGTGTCTAACGCCGCCGGGATGGAGAGCAAACGGGAGCCGCTCAGACGGTACATCTGCTCGTTCGCGGGCTGCCCGGCGGCCTACAACAGGCAGTGGAAGCTCGACGCGCACCTGTGCAAACACACCGGCGTGAAGCCGCACGCGTGCGCGCGCTGCGCCAAGTCCTTCTGCACCTCGTACCACCTGGCGCGCCACGCGCTCAGCCACAGCGGCGAGAAGCCCTTCCGGTGCCCCGAGGACGGCTGCGGGGAGGCCTTCACCACCGCCGCCAACCGCGCCCGGCACGTGGGCCGCGTGCACGCGCCCGGCCGGAAGAGGACGTACGCGTGCAGGTTCGAGGGCTGCGCGCTCGAGTTCCGGAAGAACAAGCAGCTGAAGGCCCACGTGTGCGAGCGCCACGGCCCGCCGGCCGGCCACCCGTGCACGCACGAGGGCTGCGCCATGCGCTTCGCCGTGCCCAGCAAGCTGAGGCGGCACGAGAAGGTGCACCGGGGGTACCCGTGCGCGGACGAGGGCTGCGGCTTCACCGGGAAGACGTGGACCGAGTACCTGCGGCACCGGAAGGAGCGGCACCGGCCCGTCCTGCGGTGCGACCAGTGCGACAAGTCCTTCCGGGACTCGTGGTTCCTGCAGCAGCACCGCCGCGTCCACTCGGAGACGCGCGTGGTCCTCCGGTGCCCGAGGGCCGGCTGCGAGCGCTCCTTCACCACCGCCTTCAACCTGCAGAGCCACGTCGGCTCCTTCCACGAGGAGCGCCGGCCCTTCGCCTGCGCGCACGCCGGCTGCGGGAAGACGTTCGCCATGAAGCAGAGCCTCCGGCGCCACAGCGTCGCCCACGACCCGGACAAGAAGAAGCTGGCCAAGGCCCGGCCCAAGAGGTCGCTGGCCTCCAGGCTGAGCGGCTACGGCGGCACGGCGGCGGGGAAGCCGGCCGAGGAGTCCGGCCCGCCCGGCCCCGTCGAGCTGGTGTCCCTCCTGCAGGACACGTCTCTGCTGTGCGGCCCCGCCGTGGACACCCACGGGCTCGCCGAGGCCCTGGCTACGCCCCTGGCGGTGTAGAACGGAAGGTGGCGGTGCCGCTACGAGGACACGTGGTGGGAGAGAAGTCCACGCTGATGCGTCTGCATCTGAGGGGCCTCGGTTTGACGCTTTAACCAGCTGCTTTATTTCATTTCTTTATTCTGATGAGTCCTGAATTAAGACAAATCCTGTCCCTCCGTCCCTCCGGGTGTCATCGACTTTCTTTGTGTTGTTTGTTTGTTTTTTGTTTAATATATCCGGTAAAAAACTTGTATGAATAAATAAAACCGGTGGCATATAGATATGATTTTGTCACAAATATATTTACTCGTAGGGGGGTAACTGTGTTTCTGAGATACATGGACACAAAACTGAAAATATTGTGCGAACCACACCAGAGATGTTTACCTGTAGAACAGTGTCAGCGTTATATCTCATATCTCTGAAGAATATGACTTATTTTTCAGGATTAGCAGGAAGTTGGTCAAAGATTGCTGGACCGAAAAACCAAATTTTACAACCATTTAAAGTTGGGACGTCGTTTGGTGGGTAAAGACGTCGACCGCATCACGTGCAATGTGAAAAAAATGCAATAAATGGCACCACTGCGCGTGATCGCAACACTTCGCGTGGTGTGTTTAATAATTGCGATAACGTGAGCTGTCCGACGTGGCGGCGCTCTGTGGAACCGGAGAAGATGCGGCGGGTCGGAGCACCGAACCGTCTCCCTCCACCGTCTTTGTGGTTTCAGCTTCTAAAGAAATCTTAAAGCCGTCCGGTGGGAAGCTGGAAGAACGTCGAGCCGCTCGCTCTCGCCGCATGGCGGTCCCCCCTCGTCCTCGCCGCCCGGTGGTCCCTCTCTCGGGGGCTCGTGACACACAGACACACACACACACTCTGCCGGTGACGGAGCATCGGTGCGCCGACCGACAGATTTACGGCGTAGAAGCGGGAGACGCTCCGTGCGAGTTTGGGATTCCGAGGCTAAATCCCTCCTCGCCTTTACGGGAACGCCGCTCCCCACATTCCTGCCGGCGCGGCGCAGACGGGCCCTACATGGGCCGGCTGACGCGCGGCCTCCAATTAGCGCCCGCGCCACGTGACCCTTTCCCCTCGCCGAGGACTTGTCCTCCTGATGCCGGGACGACTTTGGGATTCCGATCAGTCGCAGACACACAGATCGCTGTTCAACCGTTAAAAAGTCCTCACCTCGGATCGACGTTTGTTACAAACTGCTTTTTCTCATTCGCCTTTTAGGAATACATTTTCTCGCTCATATTTTCACAGTGCAAGTTTATTTTTTAAACTTCAAAACTAGATGTGATTGAGAGAAAGATTACAGTAATTTTCTGAATTAAGTCTGCAGTTAACCTGTTTGTATTTTACTTATTGGGACTCATTTATAAAGGATACGTTTTCTATAACATGCGTACGTTTTGATCAAATATCTTTGAAATATTCAAGATTTCAATTAAAATAACAAAATGGACGTTTATTTGCGCACAAAGGACTAATCTGGTGTTTTAAAGATAATTCCCACGTGAACTGGGAAGTTTTGAAAACGCACCACTGGTTTCTAGTTAAAACAAGCTGGACGCGACAAACGTTTCTAAATGTAGGCGACAAGTCTGCAATACGGACATTTCCTTCCTTCAGTGCTCAGCAGGCCGCAACCTCCAGTTCAGCTGCTTGAAGTCATTGCAGAAGTTTATTCTAAGCTGCATTCTGTGCAGTGACCAGCAGGGGGCGACTCCTTCTGCTCCCATAACCGTCTATGAGGACATGACTCTACTTCTGTGTAGTGACCAGCAAGGGGCGACTCCTCTGCTCCCATAGACGTCTATGAGTAAATGACTCTACTTCTCTGCAGTGACCCAGCAGAGGGCGACTCCTCTGCTCCCATAGACGTCTATGAGTAAATGACTCTACTTCTCTGTAGTGACCAGCAGGGGGCGACTCCTCTGCTCCCATAGACGTCTATGAGGAAATGACTCTACTTCTCTGTAGTGACCAGCAGGGGGCGACTCCTCTGCTCCCATAGACGTCTATGAGGAAACAACTCTACTTCTCTGTAGTGACCAGCAGGGGGCGACTCCTCTGCTCCCATAGACGTCTATGAGGAAATGACTCTACTTCTCTGTAGTGACCAGCAGGGGGCGACTCCTCTGCTCCCATAGACGTCTATGAGGAAATGACTCTACTTCTCTGTAGTGACCAGCAGGGGGCGACTGCTCTGCTCCCATAGACGTCTATGAGGAAATGACTCTACTTCTCTGTAGTGACCAGCAAGGGGCGACTCCTCTGCTCCCATAGACGTCTATGAGGAAATGACTCTACTTCTCTGTAGTGACCAGCAGGGGAGCGACTCCTCTGCTCCCATAGACGTCTATGAGGAAATGACTCTACTTCTCTGTAGTGACCAGCAGGGGGCGACTCCTCTGCTCCCATAGACGTCTATGAGGAAATGACTCTACTTCTCTCTTGATTTATTCCCTCAGTAAACGTTGTAAACATGAGTTTATGGTCTCAGTCTCTAGTTTCACGTCTTCTTCAATGCAGCATGATGTTCATTTAGTGAATTATGGTCCATGTAGAGTCAAACAGACCATAACGCAGTGGACACTTTAGGGCGGGGCATCTGTGATTGACAGGTCGCTGCCGCGTTCCGTATACGGTCACAGGCACAAAAAAGGGTTTTGAATTAAAGCATCAACCGTTACTTTTGAGTCTCACGTGAGTCTTATTTTCTCCTCCGTGAGTCTCGAGTCGGTGAGCAAAGGGTTCAAAGGTCGCTGCTGTTAAACCTGCACATCTTATCTGTATCCTTGAGTACTTCAATGTGTAGAAAATAATGTATATACAGTACGAGTCAAAAGGGAAAGAGTGTCCACTGGAATGTATGTAAATATGTGTGTGTGTGTGTATATATATCTATATATATATAGATATAGATATATATAGATATATATATATATATAGAGATATATATATATATAGAGATATAGATATAGATATATAGATATGACCCTCCGCATTAGGACAAATACACACAGGCTGATTTACCTGAAGGAAAACAAAGATCCTGCAGCACTTTTTATTTCAAATGTCATGTGGAGGATTTATTCAGGTTTGAGGATGGATGCGAGAGACACACAGGAAGCGATACATCATAAAACAAATAAAAATAACGTCTGCTTCACGGCACGACTAAACAAGCGCGCAGGAATGTGTCCGAGTGCCGGGAGGAGAGATTCTCCTCTGAAAGATCTACGAGGCCTCAGAAGAGATTTAAAAGCGCCTGAGAACCAGACGGTCGGGACGTTTATGTGAAGAAAAAACCGAACCAGCTACAGCGGCTTAAAGCCCACGTCGACATGCCGCCCCCCCCACCCCAGTTTAGCACGTTAGCGTTAGCTAATTTGCAGTGAAGTCCCGACGGTCCTGTTAAAGGAACATTTCATATTTTCATTCATTCACAGCATCTTCTATCTCACCTTGTACATTGTGCCATTTCTAAGTTAATGCAGCTATTTGGTTCATAAACCAAATTATTTGACTCATTTGGTGCCGATGGGGGAAAGAGCTAAAGTAAAAAAAAACATTGTGGAAACGATGAATATCTTTAAGAATCCCACCAATCGGCTGTCGGAGCTACGTTGCCATGGTTACGTCACCACGGAGGCCCCACCGTCACAAACTGCACTATTGGAGTTTAGTTTAATCAATGAACACTCGTATATCGCCGTATAAAAACGTTTGTGTCTTTTCGATATTTCTGCGTACTTTCATTCCCGTCCTCTGAAAACAGCCCCGCGGATTTCTCCATCTCCACTGGATCTCTCCTCCACCTCCTCCACCTTCCCTCGGTCTCCCCACCTCTCGCCCGGCCTTCGTCCCCGTCCCCACACATGAGACGGAGAGCTCCAGGTATCAACATCAGTCAACATCTGTGAGCCCCAAATGCAGTTTTAACCAAAAAGTTGAATAATAATAATAATAACAACAAGCACAAACAGTACAGGAGAGAATCCCACCGTGCAGCAACTCACCAGTTCATTCTGGTGCCGTCCGTGTTTACAGTGACATCACACGGTGGGCGGAGCCTGCTTGGGCCCTCTAGCTGTTACATAAGGCACATTCTACACATCCAACATGTCAGACACACGTTGCTGATGAAATCCCTCGATTTATGGAGCGGCTCAAGACGAGTCCCCCCATCGAGGAATGTCTGCTGAAACAGGTTCTAATTATAACCCCACTTCCCCTCCTCATCCACCGTTTAACCTTTTACGCTTTACAGCTGTGCTTCGAGAGCGGCGACATTCCGCGTGACTCCTCGAACCGATTCTTTGTCCTCCGGGTTTCCGCTGACTCACGAAGCATCGACGGGACGTCATTTGTCCACCGCTGACCCGCTTAAAAGAAACCCAACCCCTAACCCGCACAGGCCCGTCCGTGCTGCCCCGGGGGCCAACATCCCTCTGGAAAAACATCTGGGGGGAAACTGAAAGATTTACACCAATTAGATCATCTCAAAGGACAAATTCTGGGTGAAGCGCCCGCCGCTGTCAGGCCCAGGTGAGCTGGATAGTCTGTTGGCAAGTAACGGGTTAGTGTCTGTCTCCCGCCGCCGCCCCCCCCCACCTCCCAACCCCTCGCCCCCCCACCTCCGAGGGCTATATATGCGATGCAGGTCGCGGCTCGTCTGCATCTCGAGCATCAGTCGCACCCGCAGACGTCCGCGACCTTTCCAGCGCCATGAGGTCCCTGGTGAAGCTCGCCGTGGTTCTGCTCTGCGTCCAGAGGGGGGAGGGACGCTGGCTCAGGCGGCCCGTCGGTGAGTCCCGGTCCGAGGGGGAAGCCCGTGACCTACGACCTTGGTGGTTCGCGGTCCGGTGTCTGGAGGTAAACGTGTGTTTGTCTCTGTGTCCCTCCTGCAGATCAGGAACAGGAGACGGCACCTCCGAGCGGGGACAGGAGGGACATCCAGACGCCGCCCGATCCCGCCGCGGCCCGCCTCCGCCGCTCCGCCCCCCCGGACTCCCCGTGCGGCCTCCGCTCCGTCCTGCTGCAGGTCCGGGACCTCGGGTTGGGCTACGACTCGGACGAGACGGTGCTCTTCAAGTACTGCGGCGGGGCGTGTCCCCGCGTCCGCTCCAACCACGAGCTCACCCTCGCCAGCCTGCTGCTGAGCGGCGCGCTGCCGGCGCCGGGGGGGCCGTGGCACAACGCGCCGTGCTGCCGGCCCACCCACCACGAGGACATGGCCTTCCTGGACAACTCGCACCGCTGGCACCGAGTGGAGAAGCTGTCGGCCGCCGGCTGCGGCTGCGTCGGCTAGAGGGGGGGGTGGTTCGGGGGGTTTCGGGGGGGTTCTGAGGCTCCTTTGAAACGAAGGTTTTATTGTTGTGTTATTTACAGAAAACAGAAATGATTTAGTCTTGGAGAGACTTCCACCGGAGATCTAAAGACTTAAATCTGATTCCTTTTGGCTTTAAAAAACAAAAAAAAACGACTCCCACAGCAGTGAAACCAAAACGCGCTGCTGCTTTTCTCACTTCATGAACAGTTTTCTCCACCTGACGTTCGGAAATGAGACCAAATGTTTGAATGTGTCTTTGTGATGAAGCGTCTCAGGCGTGATTCTGCTGCCAGCTGCTCCACTTGGTTGTAGAGAAGCAGACTTAACGGTTGATGGAGGAACAGACGAAGCTCGAGGGTCCAACGAGACGCAGCCGAGCGAAGACGCTCCAGCTTAAACGTATTTATGTAACATAAGTTATTTATTTATTGCCATTCTTTTGTCGTGCTGATTAACTTATTTTGTAAGGTGTGTATAATAATAATAAAGATAAACCTGTACAAAAGTAAACGGTGTGGAAAGAAGAATCATTACTGCAATTAGAGAAATGAACAAGGCGTTTTTATTCACGGTTTTGTACAAATTGAGCTCCCTCCGCACCAGAATAACACTTTGTCCTGTGTTTACTGGCTGTTTGTCACACAAATAAAAAAAAACAATACTGAATCGCGTGAAGCGGTTTTCACCATCTTTAAGTGGCCACGGCGTCCGGCTCAGGCTCCGCCCCCCACACTTGGACACGCCCCTCCATGGCTGTGAGGAGGCAGGTCTCTGTCGGGTGGAAGGACAACGACTGGACAACAGCTTTCCCCACCGGCAGCTTCAAGGACAACGATCCCTGGGGGGCAGAAAGAAAAACCAGACGAGCGTCTCCTCGGTAACCAGCAGAGACTTGGTGGACAAACGTCTCCTTCTGTCCTTGTGTCCGTCCACTAAAGGGACAGAGGTTCTTCTCCACTGTTGTACTACAGTACATGTGGTACAACACCTCAAAAGATCTATCAAACTATCCCTTTGAGTCGTCTCCCATAAAATGTGCCCCCCCCCCCCCACACACTCACTTCCACCAGGTCCCAGCAGTAGACGTGTCCGTCCTCGGAGCAGCTCAAGACGTGGGTGTTCTTTACTGGACAGGCAGCAGTCCAGCTTGTAGCCCTTCATCTTGTGTCCTGTGTACCTGAGGACAGCGGGAGTTAAAGAAGGACACGCGTCCACAAGCCAGCGGTCCGGGTAGAACCCCCCCCCGCACCCCCCAGCACTCACTCCCCCAGCATCTCCCCAGTGGTCTTATCCAGCAGCCTGACGGTAGAGTCCAGACTGGAGCTCAGCGTGCACTGCCCGTCCTGACTGAAACACACACACGTGATGGGACCTGCACACACACACACACACACGTTACAGGTCACGGTTATTATTCATTATTACTAATTTAACCTTTGCTGAATGGAGGCAAAGGGACGACTAACTGCTGATGAAGTCCACATGCAGCTGCCCCATCCGGAGGTCGTAGCGTCTCACTCTGCCGTCCACCGACCTGCAGACGACATGATGCTGAGTGTTTGTGTCTCCGTCTACATGTGACTAAAAAGCCTCTTTTCCCTACTTTACTTCTTGTGTTTTCCATATTTAATGACTAGAATCAGTCATAACCAATACTCTGTAAATGTGTCGTGCCCAGTGAGATAAACGGTGTTCACTGACCCCGTGAGCAGCTCGTGCTGAGCCACCTTCAGGCTGCTGACGCCGTCCCGAGCCTCGTCCAGAACCTGGATCGGCTCGAACCTCCTGGACCTCGTGTCCCAGCAGCGAACCGTCCCGTCGAGGGACCCTGGACGAGGACCCAACACACAACAAGTGAATAAATGCATTTCTTAAGTAAACAAAGTTTTAATGAGTTAGTACAATTTACCAAAGAGAATACAGAGAAACGTAAAGACACATTTCTGTTCAAGTGGCCCGATAGTTGACACAATTCCCTCAGTGTGTCGTATCGTCGGAAGACTCACCAGACAGGATGACGGTGGCCTCCTCGTTGAACTGGACACAGTTGACTCTCTGCCAGCAGAAGGAGGTTTTAAAACATTGACAGAAGGGAGAAATAAAACACAACAGAAGCACGTGGACCCAAAAGAAGAAAAGCGAAGGGAGAAACATTTTGAACGGACACGACCAAACCAGTTAAGCTACAGAATGCGTGACACGGACTGACCCCGGCGTGACCTCGGAGTTTGCGTGTGACCTGTCCCGTGGCCACGTCCCACAGGATCAGCGTCTTATCGGAGCTGCAGGAGCACAGGTGGCTGTTGTCGTAGGACCTGTGGGAGCAAACGAGGCGTGTGTTACAACTTCAGCTGCCGTGTCGGGCCGACCTCCCTTAATCCGCCGCGACGATTCTCTCACCCGTCGGCGTCCAGGACCTCGTATCCATGGCCGCTGTACGTCTTGAGCAGAGTGCCCCGGCTCACGCTCCAAAGCTTCAGAGACTTGTCGCTGCCACAGGACAGCAGGTAGTTCCCATCAGCTGACCGACGGCATTAAAAACAGCACAACAATAAGAGGACTGTTAAAAAGACGGGACAGGATCAGGACATCTGTGAGGACTGGAGCTCTGAATGAGTGAACGCACGCGTCTGTCAAACCAATATAAAGTATGTACATGTATGCAGACTATGCACTGGAACAGTCTTATCCAACTTTAGCTTGTGCTCTCATTCTATTCTCTTAATTACGGCATGTTATTGTATATAAATGTCCTTTAGAATTGTAAACCTGTTTTGCTGGACCTCCACCTCTCGCTTTTATAACCATCAGTTTAAACCTGGTACTTTCCTCAGTGTCCTTGTGTCTCCTTTGTTTCCGTCCCTGTCTAAATGTGTGTCATTTCTTGTTTCTACTTCTTTTGTCCTCACTTTTCTTTGACTCCTAATGTGTTTTCCTCTGCACTCGAGCCTCCGCGCTTCTGTCGGTGTGTGAAAGAGCATCGGAGTGTGTATTCAAATGAACGAATGGGTCTCCAGCAGTAAGCAGGCTGCTGAAACCTCGCACATCACTACCGTTGAAGCGCACCGCCCTGACGGCTCCCTGCTGGCAGTCGATGGTCCGGAGCAGATGTCGAGGCAGCTGAGGAGCCTGCGGCCTGGGCTCAGGGAACGACATCGCGCCACCTGCGTGCGGGCGAAGACAACAACAACAACGACGACGACGACGGCACCAGGACACGATTAGCATGCTAGCTTATTGTTATTTCAGTTAGGGATTTGTATGTCACGAGAGAACATTTTGCTCCAGTTGTGAGCTTTAGCGGTGGATTCTCTTTGATAGAACTCACAGTTAGCATGTTGTACGGTGGCTAACGTTAATCACTTACAGTAACGCTACTTTTTCCGTTCTGCTTACCTTTTTAATTTTTTTTAGCAGCAGTCAATTATGGGTGCCATGGTCATAATCTTGGTTCGGGTAATGCTGCTAATAGATGTGTGTATAGGTGTGTAAAATAAGTTTATTCCGAGTTTGTAACCATTAACAGCTTCCTTCATTCATTTTATCCGCCATGTTTGCTGCTACGCGCAATGCACACTGGGATCAAAATAGTCCTGTCAAAATAAAAGCTGGAAAACCCTCCCCCCGTTTCGTTTTGGCAAATTTCGTACCTAAAGCTTTTATTCTGAACTTTCACCGGATATGACGGCCCCCTCTACTCCAACGGTGTAGTGTCAGACCAGTGGTCCGTCGCTCACAGGAGTTTAACGCTACGTTTCTGAATAAATCGAACTCCACAGGGGAGACTTGTGACACATGATGTCTTTTAACAATGTTTCGGACCCGAGGAGACAAAACAAAATTCTTCGGTGAGTATGTCACACAGAAGAAAAGTTTTTATCGATGCAATTAGCTGACCACATTAGCTTGGATTAAGCTAAATGCTAGCTGAAGGCTAACGAGCGACCCTTTATCAGCAGTCATGTGTAACCTGCAAAGGATTAGGATTAAGGTTAACTGTTGGATTTATGCACCAACGAACACCCAACAAATAACGGCAATAGCTTGACATTCAGTCCACTGTCAACGATTAACAAACGGTCACTTACATGAATCATATGGGTTTGTTTCCCCACCTGTGTAGTATATTTATCATTATTTACCCTTCGCTCGGTCGGATCGTGATTCTCTTTCGACGTGTCGTCAGTTGATCAAGTGACCGTGTTTGTGGCGCCTTCACGTGCCGTGAAGTTAATGTAATGCTGCGGATCCCTCTGGCCTGAAGCCTCCCGTGTGGGCTGAAAGGCTTCAGCTCCCCGGGGGGGGGGGGGGGCTTCTCCTCGGGCAGCAGACGGATGTCCTCCAGGCTCTCCTGGACTCAAGTGCTGTTCAAAAATCCCGTCTCTTTTCTTAATGTATGTTGTGTGTTGTTGCAGGTACAAAGCTCCGAGCACGGAGACCAATCCCACGCTGGAGGACCCCACGCCCGACTACATGAACCTGCTCGGCATGATCTTCAGCATGTGTGGGCTGATGCTCAAGGTGACTCTCTCTCACACACACACACACACAAGCTCTCGTCTGTCCCTTGTTGCCCCTGAGTGTTCGACCTCGGTCCAGCCCAATAGTTCCATCTAGAAGATTAAAGGTGAACTCACCTTTTGCGATGAAAGGATGCCGAGCAGCTATCGACCTTCAGCTCCGAGCGATAAACAAGACGTAGGACACACAGAACAGCGGGACAGCAGCCGGCTCACCCGTCTCCGCTGTCCGGCCTGATTCATTATCTTTTCTATCAACAAATTCAAAGACAGACGTTATTTTATTAAATACTGGCGTTGGCCCTGCAGCTGTGTGTGTACAGAACAACAAAAGTTCTTTGTGCCCGAGCAGAAAGGAGCCCTCTGTGTTTGCTTTGCCTGGAATACAACAGAAGCTGCTACATCAGTTAACTTCCCCCCTGTGGAGACTGTTTTCACTTCATTGACCTCCTCGAGGACAGCGGGACGTCTGAGGCCGATCGCGGAGCTTCTCTTGTCCTGGTTTTAAAAGCCACAGATGGGACGGCTTCCTGTACAGATTCGTTTGTGACGCTGCTTCGCTTGTGGATGATATTCATCTCGCTGCTCCCCTCCACTCGTTTTTAACAAATAAACTTCACCTCAGTGAAGCTCCATCTTTGGAATGCTGTTGTCGAGGAATTCACAAAGCCGTTTTCCAAACATCTCCTCCGTGTTTGCGTCCTTTCAAAGTAAATCTCACCGTGCTTCTCTGTTCTCGCTCTGTTCTCAACAAACCCCTTTGACCTTTGGCGTGTCTCCAGCTGAAGTGGTGCGCCTGGATCGCGGTCTACTGCTCCTTCATCAGCTTCGCTAACTCCAGGAGCTCGGAGGACACCAAGCAGATGATGAGCAGCTTCATGTGAGTAGAGGCCTGCGCGGTGGCTGCAGGTCTGAACCCAGAACTCACCAAAACACATTGTATCCACTCCAACCTGTACCTCATTTCGTGGTCAAATCCTTTATTTGTTTTTTAAAATATATTTGTTTTACAAAAGTTTTAGATTGATAATGAAAAGCTGTTCGGTTGTTAAATGTGAATGTTTCTCTACGTGGAACCCAACAGTGGAACACAATCGCATTGATTTGCATTATTAAAATAAATGTTCAGCCTCGGATCTGGACGTGTTCCTAAAGGAAGGCGAGCGGCCTGAGGTTCACACGCCTGGAAGGAGACGCTGTTGTTCCCTTTAATGTCGGCGCTGATTGTTCTCTCCTAATGTGCCAAACCTGCCGGCAAAATATCTCGTTGGGAAAAAAAAACGCTGAAATAACTGAAAGTGTTTTTGCTTCATCGGCGAGAAGCAAATAACTTCTTTAAGGCGTCGCACCAGCGAAGCAACAAACGGGAGAGAAAAGGCCGAGTCGGCGAAGCCAGGCCGAGTCGCACAGGTGTCGCACCCACAGTGGGATCATCCTATAGCCCCCCCAACCCCCCCCCCCCATCTTCACAATGTCTGAAGATCAGATGTTGTGAATCTGTTTCTGTTCTCACACATGACGCCATGTCCCCCCCGCAGGCTGTCCATCTCGGCGGTCGTGATGTCCTACCTGCAGAACCCTCAGCCGATGTCGCCGCCATGGTAACCGAGGGCCAATGAAAGCGCACGGCCCCCCCCCCCGGCCATCGTTGAGTAAAAACAGACGGAATGAAAGATGACGTGGTAGAAGGAGACGAGAGGGACAGTGGACACCACGTCAGGACGGAGACACCCGGTGGTCTTTGACTCCTTGTTCTTATTCTCTTTTCAACCTTTTCTAACTTTGTTTACTCATGAAATCTTCCAAATTCTGCTGCCGTACGTCATCAATAAAGTTGTGTGATTTTAAAAGGATCTGCTTTTTTAAAAAATGTGTCTTTAGTGGAACATGTCTCCGTCAAAAACCTGTCCTCTTCACATCCATGAGATAACGGAATTATACCATCAGAGGACATCAAGCTGTTTACTGTGTCCGTTTATTCCTCCCGTGCTGACCAACACCCTTTAAATCACAAGTCTCCCCCAACCAGGACGTTGTGATTAGATGTGAATCAGTGAAATGAATCCACCACCTTCCAGTAGAGGGGGCGGGTCTCGGCGTAGGTAAGGAGACCAATCAAAACCCCTCTGGCGGTGGACACGGTCATCTGGCGTGAGCGGGCCCTTCGGAGCATCGCTTTACATCAAAGCACAACTAAGATTCTGCTCCCAACTCGCAAGCAGTGCAGAAACCGCTGGGTGACGTCGCCATGACGACAGTCCGCGGTGACGGTGTGGGTCCTCTCGTCCACCGGGGGACACGAGTGTGTGAGACCCGTACCGATAACTCCGCTCTGCTGATTCCTTCTGGGGAGCCTTCAAACATCTCCCTGTCCCCGCTGTCCCCCCCCGTCCCTGCTGTCCCCGCTGTCCCACTACGAGCCGCTGCGGAGGACATGGAGCAGGAGTCGGCGGTTATCGGCCCCCGCAGTGATCGCCGTGCTGCGTAGTTTGGATATTAAAACCTGTCACAGTTTGCTGAGCGTAGATCTTAAGTTCACCGGGCGTCTTTAATTAAATCTACTCTCCACGTCCCGCTCCGCTGAGTGCGCCCCAACCGGGCCCCAACCGGGCCCCCGTCAGGCCCCCGTCGGGCCCCCGTCAGGCCCCCGTCGGGCGCCAGAGGGCCGGCGAGTCGTGGGCGGAGACCAACGCAAGCCGGCGAGAAGCTGCTGGAATGACGTTTTCCCTCCTCAGACGGTTGGGTGAGTCGAATCTTTTCTCTACTATGATGAACTCAAACATTATTTAGAAGTTGAGAGTATTCAGATTAATGCTACAAAATGTTTGACAAGTTCAGCAGAACAAAAGTTCTTCGAAAACCAATTGAATTGAATAGAACTTTATTAATTCTCCTTCTCTGAGGTGATTTGTAAAAACAAACCCAAACACACACCTGAACAAACAACTGTTATTTAAGGCAATGTGTTGGGAAGATGGTGCAATTTTATATATATATATTTAAAATATATATATATATTTATATTAAAAAAATAAAATATATATATATATATATTTATGTTAAAAAATATGTATATCTATATATATATAAAAAATATATGTATTTATATAAAAAAACTGTATATATATATATTTAAAAAATATATATTTATATTAAAAATATATATATATATATATATATAAAAATATGTATATCTATATATATATAAAAAATATATTTATATAAAAAAAATGTATGTATATATATATATATATATACACACACACACCTGGGATTAAAAAAATAGCATAAATGTTTAATGAATAAATTATAAAAAAAATAGCTCCAAAAGAAAAGATGACCTTAAAGTGACCTTCAGGCTTGTAAAACACTGTTTAAAGTGTGTTAACTGTCTGATCTGTATGAGCCTCAACACTGCAGCCGGGATCAGGTGTGAGAGTGTGTGTGTGTGTGTGTGTGTGTGTGTGTGTGTGTGTGTGTGTGTGTGTGTGTGTGTGTGTGTGAGAGAGAGAGAGTCCGTTTGCTGAAAGCTTGTGTGTCTCTGCAGCACAAGAACCTGCTTTCTGCCCCACAACACTCCCATTTCTTCTATAAGTGTGTGTCTGTGTGTGTGTGAGAGAGAGAGAGACACAGACACAGAGAGAGAGAGAGACACACACACACACACACAGAGACACAGAGAGAGAGAGAGAGAGAGAGAGAGAGAGAGAGAGAGAGAGTTCTCTTCTGGCTGCATCGCAGCTTGATGTCGAATAAGAAAAGAAGTCCGATCCTTGTGACATTGGAGCTGCAGCTTCACCCGATTAAAGGAACAGTGAGAAGAACGTAGGACTGCTGAGGTACTTTCAGCGGGTATTTGTATACTTTTACTTCAGAAGGGGGTACGAATACTACGGAACATACAGCCTGGGAGAGTTGATGTACATGTATTACAGAAAGGAGGGGAGAGGACGAGAGAGAAGGGGGAGAGTTGAAGAGAGGGGGGGGGGAGAGAGAGGGAGAGATAGGTGGAGGGGGGATTAGAGATAAATAGAGAGGGAGGGAGAGAGGTCTCATCTTACCGGGGCAGAGGATCCGCTCCCCCCCGCAGAATGAATCGTCCCCTCTGGATCTGCAGACCCTCGTAAACGTCCCGCCGGTTCTCCCTCTCAGCCGCCGCGCGCCGCCGCTCGCTGCCCGGCGCACATCACTTAGGTCGGGATGTCGCGCCTGTGAACATGGAGCCCCGCTCTCCTCCGCTTGTGGACACGTCGCCGCCGCCGCCGCCGCTCCGCCGCCGCCGCCGCCCGTCCGGTCCTCCCGGCGCCGCCGCCCGGTCTCCAGCAGCCGCCTCCTGTCGCCAGGTGAGCGGGTCTGGGGCACCGGAGACCCCGGTGGGTGGGTTCGGAATCCCCGGGGACCGCAGGCTCGTTACCGGCCGGACAGCGGAGCACCTGACAGGCAGGTAAGGCCCCGAGGACCAGGCCGAGACATTTGGCGCACGTGTGCGTCCACAATACACTATGTGTCCATTAACAGAGCATTGACTTTATGATTAATAGATTGTACAGTTTATTTGATCATGAAGCTTGTTGGTACTTAAACGTCACAATTAACTAGTTAGATTTTACATTCATTTTTTTATTCAAATCAATTCAGATGATTGCTAATCTGTAGATGGATGAATGATTGATAATAGACAGTGAAGTGGAACAGTGGCGACATGTGTGTGTACATTTTGGAGGTGACAAACAATATTGCCCCTGAAGTCAAATATATATCATACAACAGATAAATATCTCTCCCCTGCAAATACAGCTGACTCATGAGCGAAAGGTGCATTCTGTCATCTGTTGAGCGACCTCATCCTTGTTAACATTCCGCAAGCAGTTTTGAATAATGGCTGAGGTGCCTTTAAAATAGTGTTGAGCATCGTGATCCTGCCAAGAACATTTCCGCCAGTGTGTCGGCGTGTGTGTCACCAGCGGCAAGACGCTTCAAGTCTTTAAATCACTTGGACGTGGAAAACCAAACCGGGCTTTTATAGAATTAGAACCGTGAGGCAAGTTTTTCTTTTATATTTTACTGATATTTTTCTCCTTTAGATCCGATTAAAGCACACGGGCGACGTGGTCCCGGACGAACAGAATAAACCATTTTTTTTTCCAAATATCATGAAGGAGGAAACTAAAATCTTTGAGGCAGCATCGTCCTCTTCCGCCGAGTGAAGCTGATGAGCAAATGTCGTACAACTTGCATTCTCTCTCCTGACCAGCAGGGGGCGACTCTTCTGTCCCATAGACGTCTATGAGAAAATGACTCTACTTCCCTCAGTAAACATTGTAAACATGAGTTTATGGTCTCAGTCTCTAGTTTCAAGTCCTCTTCAATGCAGCGTGGTGTTCATTTAGTGACTGATGGTCCATTTAGACTCAAACAGACCATAAAACAGGGGACGCTTTTTGTGCACTGCTTGTAAAAAGTGCTGTAATCCAGGGTGGGGACGGGGATGTTGACGGACTCCAGGCTTTTGAAGGACAATCCACAAATGGGAGAATTAATTATCACGTCCACTCGTGTACTTACATACATGTCCGATAGTTTGGGTTAGAAGCCCGTCGAACACGATCAAGCGTCCTTTGACGTGTTTCACGAAGGTCAACGGGTGTCTGCCGTGCCGCCGTCTGAGGAGAACTCTCCCTGTTACTTTTAATGCCAACAGGCCAACTCCGGAATGAGATTCGATTCTGCCTCCCAAATGCGCCTGAGTAGAAATCATTAGGGTGCTTTCCGAGTCCCTAAACGGTTTGCAGGTTCTCCCCGTAATCAAAAGTCCGGGATCCAGACTCTGAGGAATCAGGGCAGTGCGCCTGGTTCCTGGTGTGAGCCCCCGAGGCGTCTTCCTCCCAATGCAATAATAACAACCCTGTTTGCCTTCAGTCGCTGGGGATGAAAGGGGGAGCGGGTTAGTCCTCGTTGGCTCCTCGCTCAGTGGACGCCGACGTCTGGAGGACGGCAAATATAAGGAGTTTATCCACTGAGAAGGAAAGTCAAGTAAAGGATGTTTGTACTTAATAGATGAAATAGTGATGAATGTAGCATTAACATCAACGTACCGTAAATTATAAACGTGTAGTATTGATGATGCTAAAATTAGCTTATTCAATCAAACAGGTTATTGGATCAGTGTGATGCTTTGTAGGCGTGATTGGAATTTAATATTCGTTACTTTGTTTTCATTAGTGCATAATCACATCCCCAAACCAACCAACCAAACACGGACTCCAGAGAGAACGAGCCGCCACCCGAACCGAGACGCGGCGAGGGAACGCTTCAAACGCCTGGGGTCTCAAATTCCGGCCCGCGGGCCAAATACGGCACACAGGGGGGGTTCGGTGCGGCCCATTAATGGCTCATGAGTAACTTTTGGATAGAAAATATAGATTTACGGTGCTTTTGATTCGTGTAAGTATCGGCCAGACGGAACGAAGCCGCATCCGCTGCTGCGGAGCCAGAAAACGCCATTCAGGACCCTCGACTCGTCTCCTGGGGAGGACGAGATCGCGATGGGCGTGGAGGTTTTCTCCCCGGCTGTCCTTGGACACGGCGGAGTGTCCAACCCGCTGCTGGATGAGTGACTTGTGTGACGTGTACGGATCTCTGAAACGTACCACTGCACCTCTCCTCTCCACCCATTTAGCGTTACGGCCCCGGACCTCGATACCGCCGCCGCCGCCGCCATCCGATCCGTCACGGAGGATCCGAGTCCTTCTGACAGACGTGTGTGTGTGTGTGTGTGTTTGCTAAATGCAATCTCACGCCTTCGCTTGTGCCAGTTTCTTCTGGGTCATCGCGCTCTCGACCCCCATGAACCCCCCCGCCGCCCCCCCTCGGCTCATCTGGGCGCTTCCCGTCCCCTCTGTCTGTCAGCTGGACTGGACTGAGCGCAGCGCGCTGTCACAGTCTGTGACCGTCAGACCGAGAGTCACCGGGGGGGGGCATGCAGAGAGTAAGGGGGGCGTCGGGGCGCAGGGGTAGAGAGGGTGCGCCAGGAACCGGAAGGTTGGCGGTTCGAGCCCCAGCTGCCACAAGACACATAACCCCTGATTGCTCCCCGGGCAAAAAATGTAAAAGGCCATGAGTTAAAAATGTAAAGCGTGTGATAAATGACCTGTAATGTAAAGAGTGGGTTTGATGCTCGAGTCACTGCCGGTGCCGGTCTGAGCGGGTCAGGACCCCGACAGGGGACTGAGTGAGTTCAAAGGTCGTCGTCGCCTCATTGTGTTTTGTTGTTGGTTTTTTTGCAGTTGTCATCTCGTTTTGTTTTGCGTTCGTCATCTTGTTCGCTGGCGATCACCAGCGTGGTTTTTCCCTGACTTGGTATTATTTTTTGCCTGTTGCCACGTTTTGAATTTTGACCCCTACCGTCTCACGCTTTGGGTTTCTATCTGTTCCCGTCTTGCTTTTTGGGTTTTTTTTCGTAAACGTCCGCATCGCTTCTTCTTTCCTTCGGCGTCTTGGTTATTTGGCCGTCGCCTTTGTGCTTCTTCGCCTTCATCATTTTGTGGTGGCCGTTGTTATCAGACTTTTGGCGCTTTCGGCCATTGTCATCTTTGCCACTACAAGCAGATGAAATGTCGCTTTGACCTTCAATGACGCATTGGGAAAGTTTTAAATCAACTCCCAGATAAAAAAAAAGGCTTTTAGCTTCTTTCAAACCGTTTCCTGTTTTCTTTTCTCCACGTAATCCGACCCCTTTCTTTTCTGACTTGTTTATGATTGAAGTGTATTCTGATTCATACATCTATAGACCCCCGAGTTACCAAAGTTCAAACCAACATAAATGAAGTAACGACGTCAGGGTCTCAAGGGTCCAGCTTACTTATGGAAATAAAGATGACAATAGTTTTCTCTGCACATCTATGTGCAGAGAAAATCGTCAAATAAAAAAGCCACAAGCTCACGTCCTTCTCTGTGATCCTGCTGAATGTTTGATAAATCTCTCAAATCTGACCTTTAACTTCTCTTCTCTTGTAAATACGATGTCGCTCCTTAATTGTCACCACTAAAATACCACTTCCCAAATCTCTCGAGGTCTTGTAACTAAGGTAACTACCTTCGCGGAGGCCGATAACCGATGACTCTAAAACATGTATTTACTAAATTTGTCCAGAAATTGCTGAATCCTCGTGAATCCGATTTCCATCCATCCTGCAGTTCCAGCAAAAAAAACCCCACCCGACGAAGCGAAGAAGCGACGCGTTGAGCTCCAGCTGCTCTCCTAAGATCGTAGATACAGAAAAATACAACCGTGAGTGAGCTGGTGGTCGCTCGCTCTGCACAAACATGTCTCATCGAGAGCAGAGCACGTTTAAATAAAACATTGGCTCCAGGTAGGCCTCCCCGCTCGGAGCGAGACTCAATCAGACGTGGTCGGCGGCGTGGGCGGAGCCGCCCCCCCCCCCCCCCGCGGAGTAAACAACCTTCCGCCCGCCGGGTGTCCCTGTGCAGCTGTGGGGGAAGAAAGCGGGAGTGAGTCAGCGCGTCGTGGGCGCCCTCGGGTGAACTCCAGGTAAACGCCTCAAGTGTTTCCCGGCCGCCGAGCGGCCGCGTGTCTGTGTCTGGGGGAGGAAGAAGCGGCTTCGGCACCTCGTCTGCCTGTCTGCCCACCGGTACCGCTCAGACTTATGAGATGTTACCCATATACTACACCGCCCCCCCCACCTCGGTCTGGCTGCTTGTCTTAGAAATAACAAGTATTGTATACTGTGCATGAGCTTGTGCTCTTGAGACCGGATACAGCCTAATTACTTATATAAAGAGCAAATACATTGATCCCCCTCTTGGAAACTGAAAATAATTGCGGCCATTTCTCCAAACTGTAAACGGTATGCGGTATAAACACCAAGACGTCAAGGGATCTGGTTTTGGTCTCACCCTAATCGGGAACTCCTACTAATAAAAAAAAAGG